CACCAATCACAGTACCGGGGATTGCTGAATCACGTCAGACGAAAGCATAGTAAGTGAAGAGCATTAGCTCGACCATATGCAGGCGTGAATTGAAGCAGAAGTGTAACAGTGAGAAGAATGATGAAAGGACCATGTGCGTACCTGAGGCTCCGCCGACCAATGCTGCTTGCCTGGCAACCTCGAGGGGCTGGGTGACCTGCTCTGGGTCATAATTAGGTTTCATCGCTCTTTCATTGATGCGGTCTGGCGTGCGAGAGTGGTGCATCAGTTTCGGGTAAAGGCAATCCAGGGCTCGGCGTTCGTAATGCCGTGGTTGCAAAAGAAATGCGATGACTAAGCGAGGCCCAACGGACGCACAGCTTAAGATTTCCGTTCGGGAAAGAAGAACTCACCCCACACACGAAACAACGACAGACCCCGCAACCACCTACAACCCAAACCGAGAGTAACACACGCTCTCGAACCCCAAACCAGACAGCGTGCGGAATTTGTACGCGCCAAGTCTGCAAAACCGCAATCATGGGTAAGTTGCGCAAATTGCAGGCGTCACTCGAGCCGGCTTTTTTGCCCCGCTCTGTACCGCGCCCAAAACAAGACGACAATGGCTGACAGGTGGTTTGCAGCGCCCAAGAAGAAGGAACAGCAGAAGATGGCCCTAGGAGACTTCCTAGCAGACCAATGTATGCCCCGCCCACTGGCCATCGAGGGCGCAGACGACTGACAGAACGCAGCGCTAGGATCATGGGCCGATGAGATGGAGGATGCGCCCATGCCTGGTGAGTTGGACGCATACTGCTTCTGGACCAGTTCCCGTGCTAACATCTGCAGGAGTTGGTAAATATACCCCACCAACAGTCGCAGCGCAAACATGCAAGCCACGGTAGACTTACACATTTGCAGGTGCCGGCAGAAGTTCTGGCTACGGAGGCGATAGGCCCACCTTTGGCTCTGGCGGCGGCAGCGGCTTCGGTGCTGACCGCGCTGGCAGCTTCGGTGAGAAGCAATCCTCTACCTGACTTCGCATATGCTAACACTCTTACAGCCGACCGTGGATTCGCGACTCGCGAGGCCCTCCCCATGCCCTCCAAGCCCCCGTACACCGCTCACTTGGGCAACCTCTCTTTCGATGCCACCGAGGGTGACGTAACCGACTTCTTTGCCGACTGCGAGGTGACCAACGTACGTATTGTCGAGGACAAACTAGACCGCAAGCCCAAGGGTTTTGGATACGTCGAATTTGGCAGTGTCGATGGACTGAAGAAGGCTCTCGACCTGTCTGGCACATCTTTCCAGGGCAGGAATATTCGTGTCAGCGTTGCTGAACCACGTACGTTGTTTCCCCCTCATACGCGCGCGGAAAACAATTGACATTATTGCAGCAAAGGACCGCCCCGAAGCCCGAGACATCTCAGACTGGACCCGAAAGGGACCCCTTCCCGATCTCCCTGGCCAGCGCAGCAGCTCTGGACGAGGCGGCTTCGGCGCAGGCCGTGACCGTGCCTTCGATGCAGCATCTGACGCCGGTAGCGAGCGGGGCGAACGTCGCCGCCCACCTCCATTCGAGGGCGACGGCAAGCCCCGTGACTTTGGCAACTGGGAGCGCCGAGGACCTCTTTCGCCAGCCGCTGCTCCTGCTCCCAGCGAAGGTGGCCGCGCACGAGGTGGCTTTGAAGGAGGACCCCATGAGGGACGCAGGCAGTCCCCAGCCTGGGGTGAGGGTCAGGGCACCGAAGGCTCTCGTGGGCCGCGCCGTGAGTTCCAGGAGCGACCACAGTACGAGAGACAGCCCACTGCTGCAGACGCCGACAACCAGTGGCGGTCCAAGATGCGCCCCGACGCACCTGCTGTCAAGTCACCCACATCTACACCCGATGCTAGCACACCATCATCGCCAGCGCCGCAGCCTGCTGCGCCAGCCAGTCGCCCCCGCTTGAATCTGGCCAAGCGAACAGTCTCCGAGGCTCCAGCAGCTCAGGAGGTCTCCACTCCCTCAGATAAGCCCAACCCATTCGGTGCTGCACGTCCCATCGACACCGCTGCTCGTGAGAAAGAGATCGAAGAGAAGAGGCAGTTAGCTATACGCCAGAAGAAGGAGGCGGATGACAAGGCTCGCGAAGAGAAAAAGGCTAAGGAAGCTGCAGAGAAACCGGCGCCCAAGGACTCGGCGCAGCCAACGCCAACGAAGAAAGAGGAGAATGGTACCGAGGAGAAGCCCAAATCCAACTTCGAGATTCTACAACGGGTTGATGAGGGCAACTCTGCTGGCCAAGATGAGGATGCTGAAGGAGAGATTGTACACGACAAGGACGTCAAGCCGCAAGAAATCACTCGCGACCCACCAAAGGCTGAACAGGGTTCATGGAGGCGAAAGTCTAGCACGCCTGCGACACCTGAGGGCACCACTACCGAGGCTATGGACGATGACGGCTGGAGCACTGTCACGAAGCCCACCAAGAACGTGAAGAACAACCGTCGGGGAGGTGGAGGTGCACCGGCTCGTGCCATTGCGTCTTAGGTGGGCGTACCTATTGGCTAAACTTCGCCCTGACGCTGTATCCAGGATGATCGCAACGCATATTTGACGGCGTGGTGGTGTCCCTTGTATTTCTGGGCCTGTGCTGTTTGTCACAGCTGTTTTCATTCGACGGTCTTCCGATGTTACTGCTTTACTGCTCAATCATCGCCCTTTCTACGGCCCTGTTCATCCGAGCGTGAGTTGCAAGGCGTCCGTAGCTGGACTTGGAACCTTTCATGAGCTTCTTTCTGCATGCCCATTACGATGCCGTTCCTTGGCGCTGCTCGTCTCTAAAAGTACTGGTCTTCCTCCTAGACCTTCCGGACTCGGTAAACATAGGATATGCCATAGTTTTGATCATCTCCTCTCGCAACTTTGTCTGTTATTATGGCTCAGCCAAGCTTTCTTTGACGGATCTGTGCTACTGGACTAGAGGTATTATATGCACAGGCATGTATTTAGCAGCAACAAGAATTCTGAAAGTATCTACACTCCAATGTTTGACGCAAGGTCTCGATGATGTGGCTTCATACTATGATCTAAATCTGCAATTCTGATGAGTCCGGCAGGAATGTCGCATCTCCGAAAGCCCGTGCTTTTTAATGCGGCAGGCCAATAAAGTCTCAAGACTTACTGAAGGGTATTCAGTCTTTCCATGAAATAGGGTAGATCGAAGAGCGTAAGGCCCGAAACCCAAAAAGTCTAGCCATGCTAACGCGTAGCTGATCGCCGTTGACGTGCCGCGGGCAGGGTTCAGGATGCAGGATCCCGGTACGCGCGCCACAATACGTCAGATGTGCTCAGCTTGTGTCCAACTTCGATATCTTGCTTTGGCGTCGATTGACCTACGCTATCACTTTTCTTTTCATATCGTGCAATGCATATAGTGCTTTCTTCCAATTAATTTAGCTACGAGTCCAACGTCCATCGCCCTAAATTCTATGTAGAGAAGGATCCAGCACAAGCTTACCCTCTACAGCATAGTATTAAACAATTGGTATCAGGGCTTTACATGCTCGGAGAGACGTAATCTGTTTGATACAATGGCAGTCAAGCCGTCATCGCCAGAACCCAACGCAACACCTGCAACGCCGATCAAGCAGGCACGGTCCAGGAAAGCCGCCACACCAAGCCAATTTGAACAGGGAAGAGCGGGGTCAGCAGGAGGAGTGGTTTTACCAAAAGATTCCTCAGCAAAGGTTTCAGCATCATCATCCAAAAAGGCTGTAGTTGCACCAAGTACCGATGAGGTTACCGCAGCCGCGTCGAAGACACAGAAAAAGAAACCCAGGAAGTTGAACAAGGAGCCTACTTCAACACCTGCAGGTACTGCAAAGTCTGCGGCCACAAACAAATCAGATGTACCATCATCCTCTGAACTTGAAGCACTGAAATCTCGGGTGAGAGGCTTAGAAGCCAAAGTTGAAGAGCTCTACAAAGCAGGTGCTATTCCCGACTCTCGACCAGGCCGCTCTCCTCGCCGACGGGGTAAAGGCCGAAAAGCTTCATCCTCAGCACAGGTACCTACGCTCAATACCACAGTCAACGACAGTAACGATAGGGTTCAGGAACTCGATGATGATGACGAAGAGGAAGAAGCAGACGAAGAACTTGTGCGCCTTGAGGGTGAGCTGGAGGTAGCAAGACAGGATCTGGAACACTATCATCCGTCTACAAGAGGAGGAAGGAGTGGAGGAGCAGAGTACGTCGAGGAAATCAATAGGGGCTCCTCAGGAACGAGTGCTGGTACAGACAGACAAGTCACCCTATCAGGAAGCTACCGTATTCCCATCCCTGCGAACGTCAATCTCGAAGACGTAAAAACCATCAAATCAGGTGTTTCCGCTGCGCAGAATGTTGCGAGGTCTTTTCTGGAACAACGACGCGCTGCTGCTGCCCTGCGTGCTGAAAACAATGCTTCATCATCGCCGCAATCCAATGCCAAGACTACGAAGGTTTCTGCTTCCAAAACGTCTTCTGGTACTACACCGAAGCCGAAGAGGAGTATGAGTTCAAGCATGGAGGTCGCTGTTGATAACAGCGATGGAAAGCAGAGCTGGTCTGAGTGGATTGGCGGATATAGTATGGCCATCACGAGGGCGGTTAGCAAAATTGAGCATGAGGCTGCTGTAGAAGCACAGCGGAGTGGTGGAAGTGGAAGCGGAAGTGCAAGGCCAGCGGCAGGTGGGAGAAGGACGAGTGCGCCTATGTCTAAGCGGGCGGCTGGGAAAAGACCTGCTGCTAAAGCGACGCTAAGCAGCGAACAGGTTCATGGTCTGATGAGTTAAATGGTCACGGAAGAAAGATTGTACGATATATAGTCCCAAAGATCATTCAGAGATAGTTTGGAACGGCATTGGAGGACTCAAGGGCAGCTTCGAGGTATCGCATGTTGTGGAGTTGTGCTAATAACGACAGCAGCAATATCTCACGGTATACATATATTTACGTACCAAGCATGTTAAACATACACACCCTTCAGCACTCAACCACTCTGTGTGTTTGCCTCGCCATTCTCTTCTGCCGCCGGTTGTCCTTCCTTCACGTTTTCGTTCAGAGGCGGTGTTTCTCCTTGGGGATCAACGCTCATGGGCTCTCTCTGCGAATTTTCAACCAGAGGGGCATCTTCCTTTAGGGCATTTGCGGGCTGGTCTTCTGTGGCTGCAGCGCTAGTTTGGATATGGTCTGCCTCCCCTCGAGCAGCAGCTGCTTCCTCAGGTGCCGGTTCCAAGGGTGTCTCCCTTTGTGCTTCACGACGCACCTTGCCGGATCTGCTCGATCTTGAGGACTGTGCAGTGTGTCTTTTCGTATTGCTCGTCAATGATGAACAGGACCTGGAAGAATAAGTGTTTTCTGACTTCGCACTCTCCGCCTTCTCTTCCGTGACGGATTTGCTTGCTTGAGGAACGACTGGCATATCCTGCCCAACCCCAGTGCTCATGCCGTTATCTTGTGTTCTTGCCTTTTCCCTATATTCGGTACCTGCGTCAAGCCCATGAAGAGCCATACCAAGCAATCCGTTCATTCTCTTCTTAGGCCTTTGGGTCTTCCAGCTAACATTGGTAATAGGTTTGCCTCGACCACCTGCAAGCCAGAATAATGTTGGTGGGAGGCGCTCATAGCCTCGCAGAGCAGAAGGCGAGCCAGTGCCACCTCTAAGGCTGACGATAGGTGATTGTGTTCTAGGTTGAATAGCAACGTCTGTAAAAGGGGCAGAACGATTGAATGGAGGAACTGTAGGAAGGGCAGGTGTTGAGGTGAGACCGAACGTTGGTAGATGGAAGAACATAGAGCGAGGCTGTGAGTGGGTAGCTGCGAAACTTGGTGTGCGTGATGGCAGCAAATTAGTAACGTGTCCGCTGCCAGCTGCAGATTTGCCCACCCTTGATGTCTCTTGGCTTCCACCACGTCTCGAAATACCCTTGGGGAGACGTGATAAACCATGAGCCTGCCTTGAAGCGCGCGCAATTTCAGCCAGGTTCAGAGTCCTCGCTGGTGGTAAGTTCTCGTCGTTGTCTGAATCAGTGGCATAGCCATGACCAGGCCTGTAACAAGTAAGCAGCAACTGTTTGAGGGTTAAACCACAACCACCCGTATGCGTATGTTTTTCTCCCCCACAACCACCTCGTAATTTTGGTATGGTATCGTCACTGAGCCCTTCCTGAAAGTCAGATGGCTGATCGTTTGAAGTCGGTGCTGCTCTCGAACTTGTATGTCTCGTTCGACGTCGATTGTTACTCGATGGTCTCGAATCTAGTGAATTTTGCTGTGATAGATGTGTGGAGCGTCTGGAGTACTTATTTCCGCTGTGCAGCAGTGCATTAATGCTAGCTTGCTGCTCAGGATGCGGACGTTCAATCACGACATGACCACCCGTGTCGAGACTCCTTTCAACGATTAAGGTACTGCGTGGTGGTTGCAGCAATGAATGTTGCTCTGGAATAGGGCCGAAAGCTGCCGAGAATTTCTGGCCATAGAAAACCGTCTCAGAGAAGTCTGTCATCCGATCTGAAGCCTTTTTGAGACGAGCAGCGCAGGCAAAGTCGATTAATGGGCTTGGTTCACCGGCACGTATAGCATCTGAGTGTCGAGATACTTCACTTTTTAGGATGTAAGGGTAATCCTTTGAGTTGGGTAAGCCATGGTGATAATGCAATCTAGGGCTTATTGGCCTTACGTCGTTCTGCTCAAGAGCACTTTTCCGCCGTCGAGGAACATTTACGCGCGCGGCAGTAGTTCTATTCTCTAGTGACTGCGAGTTCCGCTGGTCAGAGGGCGGTGTCCAGCTGTCATTGACAGCACCAGATCGCCGAATTGGTAGCGCTGCTTTCCTTGGTGGGTTACCTATCCTTTTCGCTGCGATTTCTCGAGGCACTAGACGCGGGCCCTCTTCAGATGAAGAACTGTGCTGCGGAAGAGACGCATTTTGAATCGTTACTTCTCTCCTGGCCGTAAGGTCCGTTCTTTTCCCCAAAGCTGGTCTCGTATGAGAAAGCGCGCTTTCGGATCGACTTTCATCGCATGATACGCTGGAAGGTGACTTTGGTGGTCGCATCCCGCAGAAGCTGCAGCATGAGCGTTCAACGTTGGTAAAGGAACGATAATTACTGGGATCATAGGGACAATGCTGGCTGGGCTCGGAGAGAGATGGAACTTGTATCTGAATGATTGGCAGTTGTTGGATAACCTGCGAGTCGGCATCAGCGATAACTCGCTTTACAACCACGTCTTCTCCGAGTGCCGTACTCAATCGAAGGGCAGAAGTGGGTTGTGGGGTCGTTCTCCGTATGGGAAGAGCAGTCATAAATGTATTGAAGCCAGAAGAGATGCGTCGCTTCAGAGTGTGGGATCGCTGGGGTGCAGAGCCTGAAACTGCTGGCAATGCAGATTTAGGAGTGGGTTTCCTTGGGTTCGGCATCCACAGTATATGAGTATTAAGCTTGTGCAAGATCTGGCGCTCAAAACGTAGACGAAGCGTAAGCGACGACCTTGTATACTTTGGGTACCTTTGTTTCTTCCTGGTAGTCTGAGCGTGGATCCGCGAACTTGAAAGATCTGAATCTGAATTGTGTGCTCAACACCTTAAGAGTTGCGGGCCCCATGTGAATGTCGACAGCAGCCGTGACATGGTATATTAATGAAGCATTTGCAAACGGTTTATTAGCGAACATGGCGGCAAACGTGAAGACGAGGAACAACACAGGAATTGCAGCAATGCTGTTCCTCACAAAAAATCGTAATCTCATGTAGAAGGAGTATCGTGGCCGCAGGATGTTCCAGCTTGCCGTGTAGGGATATGATTGTTCTGGGCTCCGACCAACAGCGTACCGCTTATCTATGGTTGTTGGCAAAACTCATAGTCGACTCAGTACCTGTGAAGGCGTCCCTCTTCAGCCCAGTCGTACACGTCTCGTAGATGATTCCGATCAGATGCACGTTCTAGCCTCCAGTCATCATCCTCGTTGTCAAAGTAGTCACAGTTGTGATTGCGCGACCGGCCCGGAGAACAACCAGCGCACCTACCACTACGGTCGCCAATCTGGTCTGTGAGAACTTTGCAGACACTGCAAAGCACATGGACCCGGTTGCAGATCGTAAGTAGTGTGCCCGGGGCGTACAGCGCATCATTTACCCCGCATTTAAGACAGAATCTTGCATGTGCCTGCGTGCCACTGCGACACCACTTCCCTTTTCTCATATCATCGGCGAAGTCCTTCCAGTGGTTGAAGCTGATGCAGCTATTGCAAGTATAGAGTTGTCTGGATTTTGCCCAGGTGGTTCCTTCGGCGGCCAGAAATTCGACGTGCGTTGGTGGAGGAATGATGGATCTGAAATAGCGAGTCGTGAAAGCCAGGTTGACTTTGTTGCTTAGGTCGAGAAGACTGACTATTTCCAGATGAAGCTCGACGGGCAAGCGAAGTATCGGCGGTGAAGCCATGGTATGCAGACCTTATGCGTGTTGAACAGTCCTTTCAGATCAGTTCGTCTGAGCCCAATAAATCAGTTGAGGTTCTTTGAAAGATCTGCATCCGGCTTACGGTTGGCAGGTCTAGGTGGCTATGGGTCTCTCAGTCGACGCCCTTTGCTGCCTGCTATGCAAAACACGGGTTGAGAGCGCAAGGTGTTTTCTCTCTGCCTTTTGTCAAGCGAAATCGCAATACTTATGAATATCGCAAGGGCAAGCTGTGCTACAACGCATGCTAAAGTTGGGAAAGTGAGCAGGCTATGAGCACATTTGCAGTTTACGCCCCTTGTGCAATGCAAGACGCACGTCAAGTCACACGGACCTCCAAGCCCGCGTATCCGTAGGTTCCTCAGGCACAACGAATGGTGGAGCTTTTGGCCGCGGCATCACTGCCGTGTTCCGCCAGTTGCCTTTCTTGGTATCTAACACGATTTCAGGGTCCGGAAATTACGTTGAGATGTTCTTTGTCCGTTGGCCTCAGCCGCACCTAAAATGGGGCAGTTTATAGCCTCATTGGAATACCTGAAATCCGGTCCACAAAGGTTTTGATGATGATAATGTATTTCCCAAAGCCATTTCCACATTGTGGTAACTACTCCTTCTTCAGGTCGTTGAGCACCATGTAACGCGATAGGGAAATCCAGCCCCAACGAAACCAGCGCATCTGGCTTTCGTGTGCCGTGGTCATGGCCCTCTGGGCAGTCCTGTAACCGGCCGGCGAGCTGACAAACAAGAGTGGAGTTGGGAAGCTTCCAAGCTCCTTCTTCCGGATGATTGCGCCAATGATTGTAGCAGGCGCGTCCAGTAAGCTAAGATATTTGCGGAATATGGAGGTAGTGGTGAGAGTGTACAGCTTGACAGGGCACTCCCACCCACTGTGTCGGTGCATGAGTGCCTTTAAAAAGGTATGCGCTCCGTCGTGGAGTGATTTGTGATTGGGGTGGTCGGAGACGCCGTGTGCATCAAAGGTGATTATAGCGTCAACGGTCGCCTGCGGTGCTTCCTTGGAAGAGATTGAGGTCATGTTTGGAGCGAAGGCGGTGGTGAGTAGATTGGAGATTAGACGAGGGTGCCATGTTACTGTCATGGAATCTGGGAAGTTCCTGGGCAATGATCAGCATGTCGAAGCCATGCAGCGTTGCATTGCAGTGCGTACTTGTCTTCTACAACGAGAATATCCTCCTTACTTCCGATTCCCAGCTGCAGCCCACTTTTGACCAGCTCTTTCTTACGAATCTCGCCAAGACCATCGGCATCCCCTGTTGTACGAGATTAGTGGTCGCGTCTGAGAATACACAGGACATGTGCATGCCATACCGCTACTCAAGCACAGTATCTTGACATGATTCCCGCGTTCTGGACGCGTCAATGCCAGCAAAGTCGGGGCAAAGAACATGGCCTCGTCGTCAGGATGCGCTATCAACAGTAGTATGCGTTTGTTTTGTAATGTGGGGAACGAAGCGCCGAGAGTGCTGGTATACATCCAGAAGACGAAAATAAGGACAGGCACCGAGGCCCAGACAGTCCAGCTCATCTTCAGTAATGGCATACAGGGTACACGGTGAATATGTTGGAACCGCAATTGTTGTCTACAAACTCAAGCCAGGGGAGGTAGCGCGTCGGCATTGGAAGCCACTGGGGTCCTGGGGCGAGCTTTGACCCACGTCATCTTGGAGATTCTCTCGAGCAAACACGCGACGTGCTCAACCCTACCACTCGACTCCTCTGCACATCTACCACCATGTCTGCCGGCAACCGGAAAGAGCGACGCGCCAAAGAATCCAATGCAACTAGGAGTGGTGCTGCAACTGGCTTCCAGCCCACCAACGAAATCGACCAAGACGGCGTCGAGATGATTCTGAAGCACCCCGACTTCTCCAAGCCAACAGGCAAGACACTATTCGACTTGGCTGAAGAGAGGCAGAGAGAACTAGACAAGGCGAACGGTAGGACGCGAGTTGTCAAAGTGCCAGTATCATCCGCCTCTGCCTCGGCCGATGATGGTCCCCCAATTGGTCCCCTTGGGGACTCGATTCTCTATTCCGTCTCCATGGCAGCACTCCACCTCACGCTCGACGTCCTCGTATACAGCCAATACCGCGAGGACATACTCTGGAATGAGATCATGTGGCGGGCACTGACAGCGTGGCCCGTATTTTTTCTAGCAGTCTACCTGACCCACGTCGACTTCTCATACCGATTCCCCATACTTCGAGACGCTACGTTTTTCGGAGGTTCCGTCGTAGCAGGCTGCTACTTGGTATACTCGGGCAATAAGCATGGCTATTTCTATGTCATGAAGTCGGCGCCCCCTATTGGCACACTCTGGATTTGGAGTGTTGTGGAGATGAGCCTGCCTTTTGCAGCCACCAGCGCAGCCGCCGTGCTTGGATATATCTGGTGGAACGGATTCGACTTCTTTTGAAGTCGTAGCAAGCGGATATATGGTACAAGCCGCACCCACCATCTCGAAGCATCGTGCGCTCAGGCACGCATATCGCTGACGAATAAGTCGGGATATACAAAGTATTCGACGGCGCCCTTTTCTATCAAGATTTAGGCTGCTGCAGCTCATGACAGCGAATCAACAATAAATCAATGTCCGTACTCACGAGAGACGCTTAACGCTTATCAGCCGCAAATGGGCCATGCAACGAACCCCGCTTTTGCGCAGACATAGAAAGTCTACAATCGCATGTGCCAATCAGCATTCATTGCAAAAACCTCGCCTGCGCTCAACACTCAATTTACTTCATGGAATTCTGATGGCTTCTCGTCTACCCTTGCACCTTGATTAAGATTATTCGTCTTTGGTCAGCGACCAGTCCAGCCCATCGCTAGCCCCAGCCCTATAAGTTTCCTTGTCCCTAATCGAGATGCTTTCAACTTATGCCAGAGGGTCTTCTGTACCCATCGAATCCACAATTGATCTCGAAAACATCCGGAACTGGCGCCGAGCTTGTCGCAATACACACGGCGACTGCTGCAATGACGACCATGCGGGGACCTTGGCGCAGCACATCGATCGTCTAACACTAGTTGATGTATTTAATGGCTCACTTGTCACTCTATCCACTTCGTCGCCAATTACCTACGTTGCTCTTTCCTATGTGTGGGGTGCCGTGCCTATGTTCAAGACGAAGAGATCAAACATCGACATCCTGTTACAGCCGGGGGCCCTATACAACAAGCAAAACGGCATAGTGCTTCCTGATACGATCCGAGATGCTATATATCTGGCCAAGGCTCTAGGTGAGCGTTATGTGTGGGTGGATTGTCTATCCATCGTTCAAGATGCATGTTCAGAAGAGATGGAAATCACATTGCGGGCTATGGCTCGCATATACGCAAGTGCCGACTTTACGATTGTTGCTTCCGATGGAAACGACGCAGATCATGGCCTAAGAGGTGTCGGAGGTCCTTCGAAGAATCGAATCCCTAGTCCCCAATCATATTCCCATCTATGGAGTGCCTACCCAGAAGATTCGAAATGGGCGAGTCGGGGCTGGACGTTTCAAGAATCTCTGTTCTCCCGTCGTCTCCTCATATTTGGCAGCGCTGTGTCCTGGATGTGTGGACGCTGTGAGTGGCGAGAGGGCATCCATATGCTCAGATGTACAGAAGATATCCACACCACTGAGGAAAATGAATGGCCAGCAGAGCGTCCGCATCTTGGCGTACCAATGGGTATGATGTCATTGATCCCTACGATACCATCGCTTGGGCGGTGGGGTATGCTTTTGGAGAGTTTTTCTTCACGGCACCTGACATATGAGAAAGACGCTCGGGCAGCATTTGCAGGCGCTACAGAGATCATGAATGCCACTTTCCCAGAAGGTATACTCTATGGCATGCCGAAGTTCTTCTTCGACATTGCGTTGCTCTGGTTACCTAAGGATTTCGTGCTGAGACGTGAGGGTGAACCTAGTTGGTCATGTATGGGCTGGAAAGACGGTATCATAGACTGCTTGTCTGCTTGGTACCCTTTCTACGCTAACATCTTTCGTGATTCGAATCACTCATCAGACTGGGTTCCCATTGCAACCCTGAGATCTGTGGCAGAGTACCGGATGGCAGATACAGCAGATGGGATAGACGCAGGATTCAATGGCTTTTATGAATACCAGGCTTTCCGAGACTCTTCCTGTAGACAACTCCCTGCGGGTTGGAGGCGACACCGCCACCCTAATGGCGACTACTTTACGAACATTCTCTCCTCGCGAAAGTATTCATTCCCTCTTCCCGGAGTAAGCTCTGCCAAGCGCCAGATACACACCCCATCTGCCCCCGTTCTCCACTGTTTCGCCCCGTGCGCTACACTGACATTCGGGTGTACGGTAACTTGCGACAAAACACACCGCATGATGATGGTCTTGTGCAATGGCGAGGAGATGGTGGGCAATCTTACCCTGATGTGCAATATTAAAGAAAACATACCTCCACGCGGCAGCCTTTGTGAGCTCATCGCCATCTCAGCAGCCGAAACCTCCCTTCCAGAGCGTGTAGCACAACGCGGGTGGCCGATAATGTCTTTTGGGAAAAACAGAAAGCTTCTTTCTTCAACAGCACGAAGTGATGAAGGGGGCGTATCTTTCTACAATGTCATGTGGATCCGATGGGTTGGAAATATCGCTGAAAGACGTGGATTGGGTATCGTACATAAGGAATTCTGGGACGCATTAGAACCGGAACTCAGAGAGATCATCTTGGGTTGAGTCACGCACCGACTTTGAAAAGACAATCACGATATGCACTTATCGAAATTATCCACTCCTTCCTCAACCCTCACGCCGTGGTGTGATGGATCAATGAAAGAGACCACAAAAATTATGCCAGAGACCGCCCACACGGAGCCATCAGACAAGACCAGTACCACAATGGTGCCATGCAGCTGATCCAAGTCGGTCTATGCGAAAGCATGAGCTCGCCGACCCTGACTGGTAAGTATGAAGAGATGAATAGGGCGTAAGATGAGAGTTTATATAGACGATAGAATAGACCACGAGGTGAACTTAGGGGGAAGGCAGCAAGACGCATGTGACATCACGTGATTAAAGCTGCCTTTAGGTGGGTGTTGCGCGATAGGATGTCCCGTGTTATGGGCAGTTTCGCGTTGCACAAAAGCTGTCATGTGATGGCACGTGATTGTAGCAGCCTACGAAGGATTTGCTCTACACTTCTTCAAGTATCGCTTGGTTGGCTCAGATTTCATTGATCTCTTCCATTGGAGCTAAGATGACATTCAATTAATCCAGGTCTTGCGCACACGGCACACTACTGTCCTTCCTCCAGCCTCAACGCTTCCAGCCTACTCGTACTTTGCGGATCCAGATATGGTCGCTCGCCCAAGCTGACAACTCTAAACCCCTTCCTCGGGCCCTGGCCGTCGGTATCATACGTCGCGGTGTGTAACACGCTCCTGTTGTCCCAGATCGCCACGTCGTTTGGATTCTGCCATCTATGTCTGATCTGCAGATCGTGGTTTTCAGTAATGAGCTGTAGAAACCAATCTATAGTGCGCTTTGATTCTTCTGCACTCAACTCGTTGATACGTTGAACATGGTGCCCGACGCTGTAGAGAGACTTCCATCCTGTGACGGGGTTCGTACGGACGCAGGGGTGAACAGCGCTCAGTGAGTCGCCAGTGTTCTCCGGTGCACCTCGCGCAGCGGTGTAAACGGGGAAGTTATTTTCTTTGGCAGCACGATTGAAATCCGGCTGCGCGTATGTCGCTGTAAGAGACTCGAAGAACTTCTGGTATGGTTTCGAGAGGCGATCGTAAAGGTCATATCCAGAGGCCCAAAGAGTGTCTAAAGAAAGTTCAGCCACAGCGCCAGGACTCTGGCTGCTCGCGAAACTTACCGCCCCCAGATTTTGGTAGCTGAGTCATCCTTAAGATCGCATAGTCGCTTGGTACTGGCTCGAAAGTGATGTCGCTGTGCCAGCCACTTTTGCCGCTCTGTGACCTCTCCTTGAAGAGCTGCTTCGCCAGGTCTGAGCTGATGACACTGATCTCATTGTCGTTGCCCCCAAGACGGTTTCCGGCATTTCTGACTGGATGAATATGTAATTTTGATGTTTCTGGCTTACCAGAGAGCTCGCCGAGACGTTGTGCCAGCTCTTTCTGAAGTTCATCGGTCAAGTCATCCTGCTTGCGAAAGTAGACAACACCACGCTGAGAGACTGTTCATCCTGTTAGCTGTTAGAACTTTTGAAATGGTCAGATGAAGCTTGCTTGTAATCGCAAGGTCGCGTATCAGCTCATCAGAGTTTGGTGCGCGCAACCATTCCTTCAGGCTCACATCAACGAACTCGCGACCGATGACCGGCGTGACTTCGAACGATTTATATGCATTCAGTACACCTTTCGACTTCAAGGGTTCGCGTGGGTATCCATGCTGTGCTGTAGGGTCATTGCTCTTAGTGAAAGTGGCAGTAGAGGTGCTCGTGGCCATGATAGACGATATTGGAATGGACTTCTAGGGCAGCATTCACAATGCATATCTTAGTAGACCATGCTACACTTATTTGCTACACTTACTTCGCCACATTTGCTACTACCGGGTACATATTCATGGACGGCTTGATCAACAACAGCTTCTCGATTTGCAGATTAGCATTGATGCATCATCGCATGGATAGTATGGCGCAATCGCTCTCGGCACAGCTATAATGATGCCTGCATTCACCAACTGCAATCATGATATCCTATGGCGCGCGATAACGGACAATGTGTTGCGGGGTTGAGGCTACGACATGTGGGGGTAGAATGGCGTGCTGCTCGACAGGGTCGTATGGCTGGCATTGACATTAATCCGGAAATAACGCGCTGCAGACATTTGTGCTCGAGCATTTGGCGATTGCGACAGAAGAGAAGTAGTATTTCTGTCGGTCCTATCCCTAGCGGAAAGTGAGAACGCGTGGACCCAGACGCGACGCGACTTTCGCGTGGCGGATTCCTAGCCCCCTTCATTCTCTTTCACTTTTGATCTCAGCATCAACACCGGAACTCAAAAAACTCGAAGCGCGTCCAAACTCGAATCGATTCAGCAACCTGCCAAGGTGTAAAGATTTTACACTGAGGATTATGTGTGGGCGATGCCAGCAGTGACTGACGACATTACCGCCATTCTTACAACATACCTCGCTAGAATGCATGGCATTCTTGACAGGCTATCCGTTGGCGATCAAAGACGGGTCCCACTCGCAGAGAACTGATTTCGACCCTGATAGATGACGGTTTGCGCCAACCCCACGGAGCCAAGAGTATTTCTTGAGAATAAACGTGCCAATATCCATATGGTATGCGTTCGATGAACGACCGTTCAGTCGACGATTGAACCACCCGGCCGCCTTAAGGCGTTATAGAAGTACATCCTATCATATGATGGACTTGTCGCATGCACCTGTCACGTCAAGGCGCTCTTTTCCTGTACTCTACTCGGATTGGGCGACCCTACGCAATCACTGAAGGATTTTGAATGGATCCAGACGATGTGGAGAAGGTGTGCTGCATTGGAGCGCATCGCTGCCGATAGGTAGTCTAGCATGCTATACTTGAGAATGATTTTGTATCGCACAATCCACATTTCTTATCTACGGCTTTTGGAACCAAGCTTCTCGGCTTTCGTGGCCTTGATTGAGCAGCAAGGGTTTTGTCTTTAGCGCATGTTGTCAACTGTACCCAGAGTTGCATCATCTGTATAGGCAGTACCTGGGTATGAGCATTTCCGGTCTCTTATAACGCTTTCCTGGTACACCCAAAGATCAGTACCGACCGATTGGTCTTAGCCAAATCAACAACAATCACGAGACGAATACCGTTACCTTCTTTTAGACGTAGCCATGGCTGCATTTACGCCAGTAGAAAAACAGGTTCCCTTTGCACAAGCTTCAGACTCGGGATCGTCACAAGCCTCCAAGTCGGTATTACCACATTATGGTTCATCTGCAGACCACCCCTTTAGCGATCCAGCTACAGCTCAGCATTGGCGTCGAAAATACGAAAATGCCGAATATGAAGGACGGCATCGATTCAACCCACAGTATACATGGGAAGCCGAAGAAGAGAAACGTCTTGTCAAGAGAGTAAGCAAGAGAATACAACACACTGCATCAAGACTAACATCCCGGTTGTAGCTCGACTGGCGGATAATGTTCTGGGCATGGATCATGTTCATTTCTATGGAGTTGAATCGCAGGAATATCAATCGAGCAATCTCGGATAACTTGCTTAAAGATCTGGGTGAGTATCATTGGGCTCAAGGTTACAAACTGAACACTAACGAACTACAGGTATGAACACTAATGACTACAACTACGGTCAAACTGTACGCTTCATGCACGATGTTGTGTCTAGAACATTGGTTAATACGAGACCAGATCTTCCTTGCTTCTTTTCTATTTGCAGAGCTACCCAGCGGCCTAATTAGCAAGAAGCTTGGTGCTGATCGGTAAGTTCATCTTGCTCATCCGTCTCTTCATCAAGCTTCAAGTGCTAAAGACTCAGCAGATGGATTCCAACGATCATCTGCACATGGTCCATTGTCAGTGCCGCGCAATGCGCCATGAAAACCAAGGCCCACTACTTCCTCATCAGGTGCATCCTCGGCCTGCTGATGGGCGGTTTCATCCCAGATATCGTCCTCTGGTTGACGTACTTTTACAAGTCGAATGAACTTCCGTATCGCCTAGCATGGTTCTGGACTGCTTTAAGTACCTGCAACATCTTTGGATCACTGCTTGCAGCGGGTATACTACAGATGAGAGGACTCAATGGCTGGGGTGGCTGGCAATACCTGTGAGCTTTGCGCATACTGTTATCCGACTCATGTTGGTCCTAACACTGACAGGTTCTTGATCGAAGGCGCCATGACGCTTGTTATCGGCATTTTCTCCTTTGGTCTTATGCCCCCTGGTGCCTGTCAAACTAAACACTGGTTTCGTGGCAAAAACGGCTGGTTCACTGAACACGAAGAGCACATTCTCGTGAACCGCATCCTCCGCGACGATCCCTCAAAAGGCGACATGAATAACCGTCAAGCGATCGGCCTCCCACTTCTTTGGAAAGCAGCCTGCGACTGGGAGCAATGGCCCCTCTACCTCATCGGCCTGACAGCCTACATTCCACCGAACCCACCTCAGAACTACCTTTCCTACATCCTTCGCCAACTTGGCTTCTCTGTGTTCGAAGCTAATTTACTCGCCATACCCAGCCAGTTTCTCTACGCAGTCCAACTTCTAGTTGTCACCTGGCTATCTGAGAAGTTCAAAGAACGGTCCATGATATCCAGTCTCTCAAATATTTGGATCTTCCCCTGGCTCCTCGCTCTAGTTGTCCTGCCTGCTAGCGCAAACCCCTGGATCCGGTATGCACTACTTACCGGTCTTCTTTCCTACCCTTACTGCCATGCTATTCTCGTAAGCTGGAATGCAAAGAACTCGAACTCTGTTCGTACGCGTGCTGTCTCAGCGGCTTTCTACAATATGTTTGTTCAGTCTGGCAACATCATTGCTACAAACATTTATCGCGATGACGATCAACCACTGTACCGCAGGGGGAACAAGATACTACTTGGTGTCTGTGTGTATAACGTGTTTTTGTTTTATGGTGTGAAGGCGTTCTATATTTGGAGGAATAAGGTGAGAGAAGGACAGTGGAACGCTATGACAAAGGAGGAGCAAGAGGACTATGTCATCAACACCAAGGATGAGGGAATGAAGAGGTTAGATTTCAGGTTTGCGCATTAACGAGGAGACCGAGGATGGAGACCATTCGTCCGTTTCTGTACTGTAGACTTGTGTAAAGATCAGGATCTAGCCCGTCCATATCTTTTGTCTGTATGACGGAATGAAACCCACTCAATACGATTGTGTTCTTACCATAATATCACCTGATCATCTCTGTACCCAAAGCAAGACTTGAGGAATTCGATGGAGTTTGAGTATTGCTATCTTCTACGGTATCATAGACTAAGCCTATGGACACCACGACATCTCCGTCTTCCGTGATGGCGATCCATCAGCTTGTCGACTGTCTTGAGGAGCTTGTACACGGCATGCATATCGTCCACTTTGTTTTCGTATGCGGCGTACCAAGACTCCATACCTCTCAAGGCACCTGTGACGGCGAGAAGCCGAATTTCTTGAGCCCTCATGGCGTAGCGACTTAGCTCGAGAGCATCTCTTACCATCGCCAGACCCGTGTAGGGATGCTTTTTGCGGTTCTATCGCCGTTCAGAGAGCCAGCTGTCTGTCTCTGCCCATAGCTGCTTAGTCGCTTCTGGTATAGTAGAGTTGTTCGAAGACTTGACGCCGGCATATATAGCATCCCATAGTGAGAATGCTGACTTGAGATCGTCGGGGAGGTTGAGTGATTGCGGGAAGTAGCGTGATGATGCTGTTTCAACGACGCGTGCTTTGGTTTCGGGGGCAGTTGGATCGGCATCGTTGCTGAGAAGTTCATCGAGGTATGACTTGACAGCTATACTGAGTGCACAGTTGTTGGGGAGTAGAAAAGGTAGCCTAGGAGATGTCAGTATAACACGCAGATAAGTAACAGTTTAGGTTACTAACTTCATTGCAATGACTGGTATCTCAGCATGCCGATTGCAACAACCAGTACAGAACATCTGTGTGGCTGCTACCTCAACCAGATCTCGGAGCGCTTGGCGAACAACGTTGATAATAGAGTTGTAACCAAGTAGATGCTGACTAAGAGGGCCGGTAAAACCAATCGGGCGGTGGTGAAGAATACCTAGGCCAGCAACACGAGACACTAGCATGTTGGAGTTCTTATCTTTCGCTGTGTAGCTGTCAGTTGTGCAAAACCCTGTCAGGCTCGTTGTACTTACTGCTACCACGCATCGGTGCACCATTGTACGCAGAGAACATGTCGATATCGGAGGTCAAGAGACCCATCCGTACCAGCTCGACTGCAATCACCGCAGCTTCTTCGTGCTCCTTCTTGCCCTTCAGACCCTCTATGACGGAAACTAGGACTTTACCCCAAGGTGTCAGATTATGAGTCTTTGTATCGACATACTCCCGTAGAGCAAGGAATCGCCATATTGAGTTGTACAGTATTTCGGAAGTGGACGAAAGCGGGCTTTTGGGGTCTTTCTTAGCGATCGATTTGGTAACGAAATCAGTGTTTTGTAGCGATAGAATGGCTGCACCGAGAGTTCCGCAATCCTATTGCAAGCGTTAGTACTATTTCAGTGACTGAGCTACAGCTCTACTGACCTTGTACTGCGCGATGACATCCTTGAATGTAGCTTCCTTTACGTTCCAGGTGTCAACAATCAAAGGAGCCTGTGCTTCCGATGGCTTCTCAACAGGGATGGTTGTGGACGGCCGTTTACCGTTAGGGTCTACTGGCGAATACCAATGTGTCTGATGGAGAGATTGGTGTCGGTACCAGTTATGCAGAGAGCTGGAGAGAAGGTTGACGACCGGTGTTCGCAGCGGAATGAGTTTGGAGCTGACGAGTTCCTTGTACTCTGGGGAATTGCCACCATCCATTGGGGGGACTTCGAATACTTGACAGGTAGTACGCCATTGAAGTATACGTGGGTTGATGAGGCCTTTCGACATGTAGTGGAGGATCTCATCTGGGAGTCTCTGACCCAAATATTGACCAGCATCATTGGGCATAGACGCGGAGTTTTGGGGCTCGACCTTTCCTTCCTCCGTGTAGACGGGGTGGTTCTTTACAGCCAAACGTGCTTTCTGGTATCGTGTGACATATTCTTTTCCTGCCGGCGGAACATCGTTGTTGTTGACTACCACAGAGTATCCAGACTGGCCATTGCTCATGATGGTCTTGATGGCGCTGTACGGCTTGATCAGCTCAGCCCTGTTAGGCGCATCGAGGATGGGGTGGGTTGGGAGGAACGGCGTGCCAGCGAGTATGCATGTGTCGAGGAAGATGTCGTCTGAGATGTTTGGAGCGCCGACGAACTTGGACAGGTCGGCCACGCATTTCTCTCGGCGGATGAAGCTGAACTGCCGGGATTCGAAGTCCCAAGATGTGATGATTTTGGCGCACTCGAAGATGAGGATGTCGGACGATCCGGCGATGGCGTGAAGATATTCGTGCTTCTCGAGATATGCCAACTAGACACAATCAGCCATTGCCATGGACTATGCGGAAACTGCTAACCTGGGCCCATGCGCTATAGGGTGCAACGGTCCAGCGAATGTTCTGTTCGGTCAGGGTAGACTGTAGCGCACGGAAGAGGTCTTCGGGCGTGACATAGGCTAAGAGCAGTCAGTAGGGTATACAGTGCCCTCTCATAGCGGTTGCCGTACTTGATTGTCCGAATTTAGCGACTGAGGCTTCGGCCTCGTGGCTGTCGTACAAAGTCCAGGCATTGATATTCACCGCTGCTTCTTCCGTCTTCTGCCTGAAAGGATCTTCCTGTTTTGTGATGTCCAGGCCGCTGAAGACGAAGTAGGGCTCGATGTCGAAGCTGCGGAAGTGGGCTAGGTCGTCCTGGATGTGCTGTGTCAGGGCCAGTGGAAGGCCGCCCAGGGCTGGGACAAGCGGTTCTTTTGCGCGTGGGTGGTTGAGGATGCGCTGGTTCAGGTACTCAGCGGCTTCAATGCCTACGCGACAGTTGCGCAGCTGTTCGAGCTCGCCCGTCTCGCCGAATGCGGCCGTCCATTGCACGAAGTCGCGGATCATGGTGCCAGTCGCGCGTGGACTTGGTGGCCGAGTCTGTAGTAATGACGGGTGGTAATGAGTGGATAAGAGCAGAGTTGCGCCTCCGAGTAATGCTGTGAGAGTCGTCTACGGTGAATACTGTAGCGACGACGTGTACTGATGTCGTAGCGGTGGTTGCGGGGGTTTGGGGCAGTAAATTGGAAGCTCCGACGCAGCTCCACGCCTTGGCGACTACCGAATCCCTGATCAGCCGGGCGCTAGCTCAGGTACAAGCCATTAGGGCATACAAGTAGACGGAGTTGTGCCGAGTGGATATTCGGACGACGCATCAGGCACTTCGAGTTGAGTGGCCTGCATCCGGATATATCTGACGTCTGATTCTGTTCCCTCTGTAGCTCTCTTAGTGCCTGAATCCCGCCTCACCTCTGCCCCTCACCTATCCCACCTCCAGGTCTTCGCACCTTACATCCGCAGTCATTCAATATGTCTCCTCCCGAAAACGACCAAGGCCCCATACCAGTCATCGACATCTCCAGGCCATCCGAGACAGTCGCTCAGCAGGTACTGGACGCAGCTTCTACCCATGGCTTTCTCTACATCAAGAATGACGGTGTGACCATTCCACCACAAGACATCGATGACATGTTCAAGGTGGTGAGTCGTCTCAAACACGCCGACGAGAACGGATTCATTCATCGATATGTATAGTCCCAAGGGTTTTTCGCCGCCCCCAAGGAGCACAAATCGGAATTCGCAATCCACTCGGAAAAGGCTGGCGGCATAAACCGGGGTTGGGTTCAAATGCAAGGCGAATCACTAGATCCCCAAGGCCAAAAGGTAAAGTCTCGTCAAATCACAAACAGAGAGAAAGCTAGTGTTGATACAAGCATCAACAGCAAGGCGACCCAAAGGAAGCTTTCAACATCGGACCTCCCAACCCAACCCTTCAACCCCTACCTTCACCACTCCGAGAATCGTCTGAACTGATATCACGTTTCCAATCATCATGCCATGCCCTCTGCACAAACATACTCTCTCTCCTCAACACCGCCCTACAAATCCCCGATCCTCATTACTTCAGCACCCGCCACGACCAATCCCTTGGCCTGTCCGGCACCATCTTCCGCATGCTATACTACCCGCCAACCTTATCCCAGGGAAAAGAGTCCACGCAAGGCGAAACTAGTATTCGTGCAGGCGCACATTCAGACTATGGCAGTCTCACTCTTCTCTTCCGACTCCCGGGCCAACCCGGTCTTGAGCTGTCTACGCCTTCAGGTTGGAGAGCCGTGCCTGTGGATCCATCCCCATCGACTAACCAATATCCTCCTATCTTGGTAAACATAGGTGACTTGCTGTGTTACTGGACGAATGGAATGTTGAAATCTACTGTCCATCGTGTTACATTCGAGGGTGGACAAGAGAGGTACAGTATGGCGTATTTCTGTCATCCGCTGGACGAGGCGAGGTTGGATGCTGTGCCTAGTCCGGCAATTGAGCGATTTGGCAACAGAGGGGAGGAAGAATTGAGGAGTCAGAGAAAGAGGCTGGGACTAAGAGAGGATGGATTGGGTGAGGAGATCATAACAGCCAAGGGACACTTGGAAAGAAGGTTGAAGGTGACGTATGGGATATGACAAGATCTATTATGCTTAAAATGGTATTACGAACGCCACACTATGCCCTTTGCCTAACCAAAACACCTCGCTATGCTTTGCGCCATGCCATGCCATGCAATGCGGGGAATCCAAAACAAGTCCTCGTACATGCACTATATGTAGATACAGCCAGGAGTCTTTATCCCCTTCTCTTCCTCACTGCCCTTCCTGTCGCACCTCCTACATCCTTCACAACCCCAATGCCTTCAACTGCTACACTCTTATCTTGTACAGTACCACCTAGCTTTCTGATCATCTGTTCTCTGGCCTTGGCCGCACCTGGAGAGTCCCAACCTAGTTCCTGACTAGGCTGGTACTCCTCTACAAGCACCGTGCTCTCGTTCTCCTCCTCAATCGGTGGTTTCCCGGAGCTGTCACCAGCCGACGCATTGGACCGCGTAGACGTGGCACGACCTAATTGCCGTCTTTGACGGGTCTTGCCGGGTGCTTGATCAACTGACGTTGGCGCAGTTTTGCGGTTCGCGCGGAGCTGAGCTAAGATGCTAGAGTAATCCTTTTCTTCTGGTTTGGGTTCCTTTATTGACTCTTTTGTTTTTGGTGCCTCCTGTGGAGCCGGCGGTTCGGTACCTGCCGGAATCACTGAGTCGGGTTCCGGATCAGGAACTACGCAATCTGGGGCAGTGTTGCTCTGACCAAGCTTTGACTTGCGGGGTGCGGGAGCTATGAGTGACTCGGCGGATGAGCTCCGGGATCGTGAGAATGGTTTTGAAGCGTTCGAAGATGTTGATGGACGACGTGGGGAGTTGGCGCTGGTTTCCTGGAGAGGGTACGATGCTGCACCGTCCAATCCATGTGTGGCAGACTCGTCATCATGGGTTACATTGTCAGCATCGTCATTAGCGTTAGCCACCGATTCTGTTGCTGATGCAGGTGCGGTGTTTGCTGATTGAGCGAGAGCAAGAGCACCAGGCCGTTGCAGCCGTTGTTGGCGCTGGGGCTTCGTCACGATCTTGGTGGGCTGTTGCTTCTTCTGACGCAGCTCCAAGCTTTCCTCTTCAGGACTCGGCGCGATAGGCGCACTATCCTGAGGCTCAGATCTCTGCTTCGCCTTCTGTGGCTGGGGTGGTGCTGGCGTGTTCAACTGATATTCGGCATACGACTGCAGCCGACTACTGCTCAGACAATCCCATAGCCATCTCGCATGTACTGCGGGTATCCGCTTGTCCGTAGCGAATTTGAGTTTCGGAGTGTTTACGGTAGGAGGGTTGCAGATCACAACCGAGGTCTTTGCAGATAGCTGTTCATCGTACGAGGCGCCTGTCAAGATTGTCAGATCATTCCAATGGATGCGGAGCAGGAGCCGTACCCATAAGCGTGACAATTTTTGTCACATGCAGCAGCTCGATGCCGGAAAAGCCCGTGGAGTTGATGGTCAGGCCAGAGAACCCTGGCTACGTCAGCAACCAATAAACCAACAGTGATGCGCAAACTTACCACTAACAGTAAGCTTTTGGAATGGTCGACTCAATACATCACTCGCGGGGTCTACTAGACGTTTTCCATAGAGACAGCGCTCCACCCACCAATTAGTGACCAGATTGAGATGTGAACCGGCACGCTCCGGAAGTGCCGTCAAATCGACCTCAACGTCATGGGGTATTACAAAGTAGCCTCGCCGTAGATCTTCGGATGAGGCATTGTTGAGATCAGCCACGCGCATTACGTGCGCGCCGTTGCTCTCGAGATGCTGCCGCAAAATGTTTGTCTAGTGGAGACGTCAGTGAGGTCTAGAATCTGAGGTGGAGAATGGCGAACCTTTTCTACATCGAAGCCATGAGTGCATACGACGCGACCCTCAAAAATTCCATCATGTTGGGACGCGTCGTTGGGTTGTGGTGGCAAATGTTGTTCATGACTGTCTGCATGGTCATCAAGTTGCGCTTCGGTAAGCGTATCGTTGTCATGAATGGAGGCCGCTGGCGTGTGTGTACGAGTGCTTGTACGCGTACTATCTGGCTTAGTAGCAACGTCCTCTGTCCACTCATCCTCTTCTAGCTGTCGCTCGAAACTGGGCGCCGTGATGCCTGCCCAGAAGGCATCACTCTGGCTTCCTACCTTGGTGCTTGCCGAGCGACGCAGCTTCCTGCGAAAAGGGTTCAGAGCCTGGCTTGTTTCTGCGTCTCGTGTGCGCTTGCCCAGAGCGGGCGAGGCGGGCAGTTTGCGATCCCAAGCACCATTCCCTCGCTCCTGGGCGGGCATGGTGGGGTTGTAGAGGGCCTCGTCCAGCACCATGCCCCTCTCTAGACTTTGGTCGAGCCATTCCAACGCCACAATCTTCATCCTCCAATTCAGGGCGTGTTCGTACTTCTTCCCCGATGGTGCGGCGGCGATGAGGTGGGTGACGGACTTGGTGAGATCGCCGTGGTACTCGGCTCCGTTGGCATCGACAGTCTCCTGGATGCGCTTCCGTTGCTCAGCTGAATTGGTCAGTATCGTCTTATGTACGTAGAGCGGGCGACGTACGGTTGTCGAAGCCAGTGAGGCATATTTTCAGTCCCGCGAGAGTCGGCATGCGGTACTCCTTTTCCAGCGCGGCCATGTCCAAAATGTCGTCGCCAGCCATCCACACCTCCCTCAGCGCCTCGAGCCATTCTGGGGACAGGACCTTGACATCGTCGCGCGACTTGGCGACATATCGGTATTTGGCACTGTCGGTGCTGCCAACTATGAGGTGGGTTACATCGGACGTGAGATCGAGCTTGATGGTCGCGCCCATCTGCGCGCCAATGGCTGCGAGTTTGGCCTATACGGCTGTCAGAGCGGGCGAGATGTGAGGATACTGGTGGACGTACGCGCTGCTCGGGGGCGATGGAGGTGCAGCAGAGGATGGCCCCAGCAAGGGGCAGTTGGGCTGTCCCTACATAGAGTCAGCGATTGCGTTCAACGCATGGCGGTCGTGTCAGACGCACCGTAGCCTACATCGTTCGCATCCATGGCACTGGTGGGCACCTGCAAAAGTCGCAGTGTCGTGTGCTTAACGCCGAAGAAAGCGCGTCTGGGCTAAGCCTCGTCTTGCCCACGCGTTGCGGGGAAGCCACACTCGCGGTCACGTGGGTTCTGGCGGTGGAAGCCCTATGTCTCGGCCACATCTCGCTACTCCTTCCGCACTGTCCGCCTTGCTTCCCATCTTGGACCATCCCCAGATGATCCGAACCTCGCCACATGCCACGAAAAAAAAAAAGCTTTCTCCTCCACTGCCGAGTACCCACCGCAGCCAGAATGACGACTGCTTCGTTCCTGGCCTTGAGCTTGGGGGCGGCTGAGTTGGCAGCCCGCCCTGCTCTCTGCGCCGATCCGCCCACTCACGATTGCTGCAACTCCAGATTCAGAACCCCAGGCGCTGATCCCTACGCAATTGGGTCTGCTGTTTTCTTTTCGGCGATCGTGGGACGCAACGCGCTGACGCCCTGTTTGTGTGGTTGCAGTCGCGCTATGCCGCAGGATGCCCGGGCATGCTCTATCAAACTGCTCCAATATTGCAAAATCAAGGCACAGGCGCCCGCCGTCCATGCATAGTCAGAGGGCATCAATCGCTTGGTCTGTCTTGACACTTGAGAGATTGCGCGTTGCCCAGGGACAGCGTGGCTATGGAGCTTGGGGTCTAAGCGATCCCGTCACTCTCCATGAGCGCGTGCTCGTGCTCGCCTACATAGATGTAATCTCATCCGTGCGGGCTTAGTCGTGGGAGGAAGCCTGCCATGTCGTCGTCGATCAAAGTACCGTGCCGGGTATCCCGTAGTCGGTCGCTATCCGCCAACGGGTCTAGAAGCACGTCTTAGTAGATGCCCATTGAGATCTCACCCCTGCATCGAGTCCTGCAAACTCTTGGTGCTCAAGATGATGTAATGTATCCGAGCCTCCGTCCGCGCAAGCTACGCTCCCATAGCGCTCCTAGTAGCTAGCACTTCATATACCCGCTGCGGGAATACTCGTCTGTTACGCTGCTTGACGTGCTCATGAACGTTTCCTTGCCCCATCTGGCACCGCTGCATTCTCCACTTTGACAATTCTGCTAAGCAACATCTCAAATCCACCATCCCAGTTGCTGCGACCCCGCCGACCAGCAGCACTGCACACCGTCCGCGTCATCCGTCCTGTTCCCTGCACTCGACGCCGGTACACTTTCGCCGTCCCTGCACTGACTTAGTCTGACATGCTCGCGTCCTCGTAACATGCTTGCAAGTCGGCTAGCTGCAACTCACTTCAAAACACCCGCAAGTCCCTGTTACTCGCCGTTGTTGTCCTGACCAGAAACCTCCCCTCGTCGCCAGCGCAGTCGCTCCAAACAGGGTATTCCCGCACGCTTCCGACGCACCGGCAACCTCACCGCTCCACAGCACTACAGTGGCCTGTCGTGCTGATCGCATTTACACATCATTAACTAGGTAGCCTCACCAAACTTTTTGATACCCTGTCTCCCTCTGTGAGTCCTTGTCTCATCTCCCCCTTCACCGCGTTCGGGCCCTTTGTCTAGTAGCGCCCAACCTCATCGTCCCTTCCCAAAGCATCCACATGGAACCTGGTTGGGTTACCTAGTCCAAGAAGCCTTTGTACCCCTCTCATGACTCTGAGGAGTTGTACAAGCCAAATTGTTCTCGACCTCTACAATTACACCTTGTATAAGACTCGGCGCGCTGCATGCCTTTGCTCAACACCTTGATCGTTCTCCCGTCCTGCCCTTGACCTCACTAACGCATCGTCGCTATGCCAGAGTACCACACAGTCTACTCTGAACGTGGCCGATTACGATACCTCCCCGACCATTTGGACTGTCCTCCGCGAACGTACCGCGGCATCTTTGCAGGTCGCAATCGTAGACCGCACCGCATTCACATCGCACACGTCGGTCCTGATCCGACTCTACTTCGTGTCCGGAGACGCCAAACGACTAGCAAGTCGTACTTTACAGAAAAGCTGGCGGTCCCACGCGACAGCGCTAAACGTTTCCTACGGTCGTTTATCGACACCCACTTTTCTTCCAATACCGAAACCACAGACATTCCTACGCCTCGATCGTCGACAAGTACTACCAGCAGCAATCGCAACTCGGTTGCCTCAGTTCCAGCTTCCCAGACCGCCACCATGAGGTCGCTTACCAGGAACTCTGGTAGTGGCGCCGTAGGCGCAATTGGAGGTGCCATGGCTGCACCAGGCATGCCCAGACCATCAGTCGCCGAGTCACATTGGTCTTCCGGCCGCGCATCCGCAAAAAGCATCATCACCAACGTAAAGAGCGTACCAGAGGAGAAGCCCGTGGCTTCAGGTGGTGGTGTCAGTGTCAACGTGCAACTCACAGAGCCGGTCTTGTTCCTACGGGGGTTCGAGCAAGCTGAGCATGCAGAGCGAAGCACAGCGATGCTTCGTGGAACACTATGTCTGAAGATCACCAAACCCTCAAAACTCAAGGCTGTTACGCTCAAGTTCAGAGGCAAAGCGACGACTAAGTGGCCAGAAGGTACGTTCGTCTACATTATGCCATTCTAAAACTAACACTCTTTAGGCATTCCCCCAAAGAAAGTTGAGTTCGAAGAAGTGGACACTTTGATGAGCCACACCTGGCCATTTTTCAATTCACAATTCCCCAACGCCGAGAATGGCACTGGCGCAGATCATGTGGAACTTTACAAGGGTTCTGGTGGATTGACTGGATCGCCAAACAACTCTTCGCTGAATCTAACGACAAAGGAGGCGAAACGACTATCGTTACAAGTCAATCAATCGCGAAGCTTCGGTAAGGGCGACACCCCTGGAGGCGGCCCTTCAGTAGCACAAAAGGGTTACAGGACCTTCAACCCTGGAGAGTACATGTACAACTTCGAGTTACCGCTAGACAGCCACCTTCCCGAGACCATCGATGTCGACCTTGGTTCAGTCAAATATGAGTTGGAAGCTATTGTCGAACGCGCCGGTGCCTTCCGCACAAACCTTATTGGAACAAAGGAAGTCACCTTGATCCGCGCACCTTCGGAGGGGTCACTGGAGCAGGTTGAGCCTATCGCCATTAGCCGCAGCTGGGAAGACCAGTTACACTACGACATAGTCATCTCTGGCAAATCCTTCCCACTCGGTGCACAGGTTCCCATTGCCTTCAAGCTGACCCCGCTCGCCAAGGTGCAATGTCATCGTATCAAGGTGTTTGTCACTGAGAACGTCGAGTATTTCTGCAACAACAAGCGAGTCCATCGAATGGAGCCGGTCCGTAAGGTCCAATTATTCGAGAAACGTGCAGACGGCCCACCAACCAGTACCTTCCCCGGTAGCACAATGCGAATAGTCTCTGGAGGTGGTGTTCCATACGACCAACGAGCGGCTGCTTCACGAGGCGAGGACGTGCAGGTGCAAGACCCTACAAACCTTCTGGGTGACCTTGGTGGCGACGCGAACATCGGTCCTACAGAGATGGAATTCAATGTACAGCTACCAAGCTGCCATAACCTCAAAGAGAAAGACAAGTCATCAAAGCTACACTTCGACACGACATACCAGAATATCCAGGTGCACCATTGGATCAAGGTATGTTCAACCATAGGTTTCAGCGTCTTACATACTAACAGTTTACTAGCTTGTCATGCGCCTCTCGAAACCGGACGCCACTGACCCAACTAAGAGAAGACACTTCGAAATCTCCATTGACTCACCCTTCCACATTCTCTCGTGTCAAGCTACGCAGGCGAACACAGCACTACCAGCATACTCGTCGCCTGAACCAGCCCTAAGCAGCACGCGCGTACCCGAGTGCGGATGCCCGAATGCACCAGCCCGGCGCAACTCCCCAACCAGCTTTGTTCCAACTCTGAGCTCAATAGGCCGCTCAAGAGGAAACTCGGACGCAGTGATACCAACACCAACACCGACGCTTACTCGTCCGCAAGCAGCGCATATTGGCGGACCGAATGACTCTACAGTACAACGACCCATTCATCTTATGCGCGTACCATCATTCAACCCACCCGCATTCTCAGAAATAGAACCACCTCCACCCGTAGAGACTCCACCTCCCCTTTACGAAACCATCGCATCACCCACGAGTGGGTTAGCCGACTACTTCTCCCGCCTGTCTGACGCATACGACTCAGACAGCGATCCAGAGCGCAACGATCGAGCGCGCGTTGAGATTCCTCTGACACCAGGGGGCCGCACCAACAGAAGTATGGACGAGCGCAGAACCTGGCTGCCCGTTGGCCATTGATTGAGCATCAGTATGCTCTCATGACGTCATGCGTTACGCTTTCTTTCATGTTTATGCATATATATATTTTTACACATTTACGACGATTCTCCTTTCGTTCTCAAGCGGGCCGTGCATCCATCGCCTGGGGAATATAGGGTTTTTTTACCATGGAAACACGGAGCATGAGGAAAACCTGCAGCGCTTTTTCTTTAACTCCCGCATTGTTCGCCTTTGGGCATTTTCGCGTGTCTGGGTCTGGGGTTCGCTAGGATGTTCCTTCGTTGAACTGGTTGTTTCATGGGCGTAACTTCATGTTAGATGGGTAGTCCTTGGTTTACAGAAGCCCGCGCTTTCGCCTGCTGTAATTATTTATCTAGTCGACCATATAGGTTGTACATACTACGAACGTACATATCTGTTCATACTGGTCCTTCTCATGGTTAATATCCGGGCCTGCCAGTAGTCTGCGGCAGACGTTAAGGGTTCAAAGAAACAGGTTGCGACACATGATGTTTGCAGGAGCTGGAACAGCGCTGACCATGTCATGATCAATTAGTATAGTTCAATTGATGCGGTGCAAACATACGGATCTCAACTGGCCTGCTTCGTTGCGGCCCAAGTCGCTCATGTCTTCTGATTCCAAGGCAACCCGTATGATTAACTATGCTATTATGTCCCACACCGCATAAACACCACATCGCACTTTCGCGATGCCGACTGACTCTCATCATAACGTCCGTGCTAGGCGGCCGCACAAACGTCGTCAACGACCTCTAGTCAAGCTTTGACATGCAGCCATTCATCACGGGCCACGTCCCGTCCTCCTCATTGCAAGGTCAGCCCTCTACACCATACCAGGCACACCGTCTTCTACTGATGCCAATGTTCAAGGTCATTCCCTCTCTTTTCCCGTCACAGGCTGACCTTATACGTTACATACAACGGTGGTCTTGACTGACCTGGTTGCTCGAGTGACGTATGTGGAGATTGTGGAGTAAAGACTAGGGAGGATATCTCGGTGCGTCTAGACGCGGGTGTTGCTGTGGTCGTTGTATGATTAGGACGTAGGGGTCTCAAGCTATGAAGGGTACATGGGTGCCCGAGTTGATCGACTGGCTCTACGAGTTCTTGGCCTAGATTGTTGAGTTGTTACCTGATGGGCGCATTCTGTGTCAGTCTGCTCATGGTCCAGTTGGTTCTTCGGGTCAATCCAGTACCCGCAATACCTGTTCGCCTGGGCAAAATCTTCTGGGCGGTCATGTTGGTGTGAGATTGCTGCCCAACTACCTGTAACACATTGATGTCATGTTTGACTTGTATATGATACTTTATCCGTGCTCTGCTATTCAAGAACGCGTGTCCTAGTGCAGACGGGACCAAGATCTGGTGTTCCCAGTCACCATCGTGTGGACAAACGGCTTGCAATGGTGAGACGCGGCTATCGGACCTTTTTAAGATCTTGACAGGTTTTGGATGGGCAAGGGCTGTTTCATGCGGAGTAGCTCAAAATTCCCAACTTGAGTAGTACTATGACGTAGAGATCGGTGTTACTTTGACTCTACTCTTACTGAGGTAGGACATGTGCATGTGCAAGAGTTGGAAGAGGTCCGATGGTGAGAACTTTTGCGAAAATTTCAAGGGTACCTCAGCCCTGCGCATAGCATTTCGAAAAGTATGTTTGGGCGCACTACAATTCGCGCAAACGGATTGTTGCTGGGGAGGCATCTTAGGCGATTCGCCAGGGTTGCATCGCACCTAAGAGACTTATTCCCGGGGTGCATGGTGTTGCTCAGCGTGGTTTCCCTGACATCTTCGATCGCCTTCAATTTCTTCGCATTCGGGCCCTGCACATACATCTGCCTTGAAATATTAAGGTACTCTTTTCTTGCGAAGAGATTCAATGACGTTTGCCCGTCTCTTCTGCAATCCGCAACCATGCACGCGCTGCAGCATGTACAAAAATCGCATCCGCCCGGGTTTCCAACATTTAACTTATCTTGACATTGATTTACACCGCCTCTGGCGGCTGCAGTGCTTACGCTCCAGTTGGAAAATCTCTGCATAGCGGCTATTTGTGAGGGCCCATGTGCCTTCACCGGATAACGACTTAGCGATGGTCAATGACCTCGGGACCTTCCAACGTTGAGAGCTCCCTGAGTCGTGCTATCGAACCAACCACGCCTGCAGTTCGTGAGGTTTGTTGACTGAAGTCCGCTGATCGGCCTTCCTGCATAGACGATGCAGCACCCTGCATACAGAACCATCATGTGATAAGCAGCGTGCAGAAGGCTTTGTCATGTGGCATCCCTCCGAGAACGACGATTCATGAGGTCAAGAGGTTGTCCACGAAAAGCGAGAGCGAACGTGTTCAAGGCTTGGGCACAACAGTTCCAAGGCTGGGGCGGCTCATAGCGCGGCCTATCGGAGCGAACTGAGCTCCGCCCCCAGCCGTTGCTTTGATAGAAGACGCTGCGATTTCGACCGTTTCTGAACGGTTTTTGCTGGGTTGCCGTCCGCCAGACTCGTTCATGTAGCGGAAGTTTTGCCGGCCAAGTTTCGGCACCCAAGATCGCGTTGAACAGTGTGGCTGTTGAACGGTGGCGTCCGATTAGGCCATTCCTAGTCCACCCCGGAGCCAACCAACGTCATTGCCAAGTACCAAGCACTTTAGTATGGAAGAGAGATAATCGCATTCTAATCTCTGTTTCTTTCGCTCGTTTTCCCGTCGAGCTGAAGAGTCCCGACGACGACGACGACGATTCGCCCTGGCAATTGAAGTGGCTTGATCAGAAACGCGCCTTTGTTTTCCCAATCTGCGCACGCCCAATCGCGCTCGACTCTGGTTGACAGCCGACTACCACGCGCACCATCCAAGCTTTCGGATGAGCCTGCCGAGCGGCACCTAGACCTCGTAAGCATTCGGCTTGGGCTTTCTTGTTTCTCCCATAACATTGACTAACTGGCCACTCCCAAAAGTTGTGCGACAGCAAAGGCGGAGCACTCTCCACGGCCCCGCAGGCATACCATACCATCACCGTCATTGCCGTATAGGGCTGTGCTGGACCGGCGTCTGGGCGGATCCCCATATACATGCATTCGGTCTCGCTACCACCTTTCTCTTCCTTTGACCGCTTCTCTCGACAACGCGGCCCCGGTGCCAAAATCCTCCCTACATAACCATTGCTCGCCCGCGAGACTCTTCTTCGCCCACCTCGGCCACCAACCGCGCCGAACTGCCTTCCGCTTCTCCGCATACAGGCGTCGTATACGTGCGACAAATAGTTAGACGGATACAGAAACACACATAGAGACAAGGACCATCAAAACGTCACAATGGCGTGGGACCACCTCTCCATCACAAAGCCGCATCTGGTCTACCTGATCCTTGGAGGCTTCACTAGTCTGTTCATGCTGTGCTCCTCTGTGATCAAGGAGCGTCTGTACATTGGTGAAGCCACAGTCGCGACAATCTGTGGTATCATATTCGGTCCACATGCCGCAAACCTCATAGATCCATCAACCTGGGGAAACGTCGACTTGATCACCCTCGAGTTTTCGCGCATTGTCCTTGTCGTGCAATGTTTCGCTGTCGGTGTCGAGTTGCCTCGCGCATACATGGAGAAGCACTGGAAGTCAGTCGTGGCACTACTGCTTCCAGTCATGACTTTTGGCTGGCTAATAACTAGCCTGTTCATCTGGGGCCTGTTCCACTCTCACCTCAACTGGCTTGACAGTCTTTGCGTTGCAGCTTGTGTGACTGCCACAGACCCTGTCTTAGCATCATCAGTCGTCGGTAAAGGCAAGTTCGCCAAGCGAGTACCCAAACATCTTCGAGACTTGTTGTCCTGTGAATCTGGCTGCAACGATGGCATGGCGTTCCCCTTCGTTTACTTGGCCATCTACTTGATTCACTACCGACCAGACGCCAACGCGGTCGCTTATCACTGGTTTTGCTACACCATCCTTTATGAATGCATCTTCGGCGCCTTCTATGGAGTTGTCGTCGGATACATTGCGCGTCGCGCTATTCGGTGGGCGCACGAGAAAGATCTCATTGATCGAGAGAGTTTCCTCGTCTTCTACTTCGTGCTGGCGTTGTTCTGTGCTGGCTCCGGTGCCCTGCTGGGCATGGATGACTTGTTGGTGGGCTTCGCCTGTGGTGTAGGCTTTTCCAACGACGGATGGTTCCTGGAGAAAACCGAGGAATCCCACGTATCCAACGTTATCGACCTGCTGATCAATTTGGCATTCTTCGTCTATTTTGGATCCATCATCCCCTGGGAATTGTTCAACGCACCGCTCATCGGGATAACACCATGGCGTCTCGTTGTGCTCGGCATTCTGGTACTTTTCTTCCGCCGTATTCCGATTATGTTGGCGCTCAAACCTGTCATTCCCGACCTTAAGACCTGGCGAGAGGCGTCCTTCGCTGGACATTTCGGACCTATTGGCGTCGGTGGCCTGTTTGTAGCGATCCTTGCAAGAGCCGAGCTGGAGACTGATACGACGACCCCGCTAGCCGTATTACCGGACGAGGGTTTCGAGCATTTGAACATCATCGAGATGATCTGGCCCATTACATGTTTCTTGGTCATCGTTAGTATCATTGTTCATGGAAGTTCAATCGCTGTCTTTACCCTTGGAAAACGCATCAATACCCTGACAATTTCCATGTCCTATACCCAAGCGAACGAGAATGGGCCCGGCTGGATGGATCGTCTTCCCCGCATCCAATCACGCTCCAGATCTTCTATGGGTCGACGTCCCTCTGAATCATCCATGGATGAAAAGTCAGAGCTCGCGACGGCAGGTTTTGGCAGCAGTTTCCTACGTCGTCAGAAGGAAGAGGACAGTAACTCTGTAAAGCCTGCGAATCGAGGCAGGCGCTGGGATGCTGGTCGAGGTCCAGGTGGACCAATCTCGCAGTCCGCCATTGGTCCTGCTAGGCGTGATGAAGAGAAGGGGCTACCAGCAGAACTCGAAGACACTGGCACCTTTCCTGGCACGATGGCCATCTCTAGCGACAGTTCATCGAGTGGCAAAGAGAAGATGAAGGGCCAGGTACCAGAAGAAGAGATGTATCAGGAGGGCCATGAGACTGTCATCGAAGATGAGGAAGGAAATGTTCTCGGTGTAAGAGACAGTCATGGTGAGCACGGTGCGGAGAGGCAAAGGCATGACCGCGAGAGGGCGCAGGAGCTCATGCGTACAAAGCATGTCCACGGTGGCGTGTCGCAAGATGAGCATGGCGGCGCACTCGAAGAAGCACCCGGTCGCATTGAAAACGCGATTGAACACCCTCATAAGACCTGGCGCAACCGAATGCAAAGTTACAAGGGTCAGAGTCAAAAGGAAAAGGCCACAGAATCACCAAAGGCAGAGAAGCCAGCCCAGAAATCAAGCCACAAGAACGGCCCCGCCCTCGCATACCAATATGGTAATACCATTATTGTTGAGGATGAGGATGGCGAGGTCCTGAAGAAGTACGACATACCGGCCGCTCCAAAGAAGGGGAAGGATGGCCGACCTGCCAACCATCGCGGCCAATCTATGGTAGAGACGTCTAGTCGTGCCGTTCAGAGTCTCAAGCGAATGGGAACCCACATGGGTGTACCAGCACAACAGGCTGGACCATCGGGCACTCAAGCGGCGAATAACAACAAAAAGAAACAGAAAGCAGCGGAAGCCGCAGCGAAAGAGCAAGAAGATGATGATCTACTCCGCTTCACCGTAACAGCTGGTGGCCGTCGGATGAGCAAGCTTGAGTTCATCCAGCAAATGTCGCAAATGAACCCTAAAGACAGGGCAAAGTTTGTACAAGCTAGTGATGCCCCTGAGGCCGTCAAAGATGCCGCACACCAAGATGCTAAGGACCACACTGCGGAACAACGCCGCCGTGCAGCTTCGGTACAGGCAAATATGCCCCCGGTTGTTGGAGAAGAGGGTGAGGCCGAACTTCATAAGATCGAATCGCCAGCGGCTAAGGAAGAAGGCCACCGTCGGGGCCCCGAAGGTCTGACATTAGTGGACAGTAACGATGAGCATGTTCCCTTCCACTCCGTACGCCAGGATCTCGAGAACCGACCCAGCGATCAGGGTGGCGAAACCGCTGCACAGCGCCGACGTCGCTTAGCTGCGGAGAATATACCAGCTGAAACTTCAGGCGGTTCCGCCATTCTGCCGCCATCGCAGCAACCAGAAGAAGGGTTTGAAGGCGAAACAGCGGCAGAGCGCAGGCGTCGTCTGGGGGCCCTTGGTGTAGGTAAAGACAACTCTCCCGAATCTGATTCTGAAGATGAAGAGACTGGTGACCCACTTGAGACTGGTCGTGGTACACACTCGCGCACCGCTGAGCCAAGTCGAAAGACGCTTTCACCTACGCCACGCACGCCTGGTATCCGTTTCGCAGATCAACCTAGAGTCCCAACAAGGGATGAGCGTGCCGCCGAGGATGCTCGAGAAAAGGAGGAGAGTCAGAAGGAAAAGGATGGCAAGAAGAGTGGGCTCAGCAAGCTCATTGGAAGGAAGTAGGTTGTTGATTTCACTATATTTCTTGGGATCAAATGTTTAATTCAAGGTCGATGCATTTGTGCTTGCATAGCGTCGTGGAGTTTAGAAGCGGTCTCTCGAAGACTTGCATGAGTCGCAATGTAGTCATTGAGTCATGGTGCTAGGTGTTCCTATTGAATGAAGAATGCGACACATGTCTTACATCAAATCACACTCCCTTTTCGTCCCAATCCTAATTGCTGGAGGTATCCAAAAAACAAACACAGTGTATTACAATGTCGTAGCGACGAAATGGAGGATTCACTCCATATAGGCAGGTATTTGGTTGCTGTCGATGTAAATTGCTCTTATTTCTGTAATCCACGTTCTGTTCGCCAAAACCTCGGTGCCTCGGGTCTCGCTCGGTGCTTAAGCGGCCAGTTCTTCGCTCCCTAGCTACCTAGGTAAGTCCAACTGTCACTACGCCACACACGATCTTCTACACTTTACTGAGGTTCAGTAATCAGTGGTTATACATTCAGCAGACATCGCGATGTGCTCCGCGACGCTCGTATGGCACCCCACCTTGACGTAGCATCATATGGGAAATTGCCTCGAAGCGGCAGCTGGCAAAGTATACTACCTTGGCGCCCAGGCTTTTGGAGATGAAAAATCTTATCAGATTGATAAGATGATCAGATTAGCGCTGATGGACCACATCGTCGTTCCACTGGTGATGCTATAGCTACAACATCATGCCATAAGTGTGCATAATTGCGGACACGACCTCGGATTAAGTCTCCCTCCTTAGACCCGTCCAAGCGACCGGTCCTCAGATCGCGCCAATCATAAGCTATCGTGTCTGCAGCCTCGCGATCATTCTTAGCTAGCCGACATACCTGAGTCAAAGATGTAGAGCATGACGAGAAAAGACTTTGATACGGACGATGCTCCGGGTTTCTTGTACTCCGATGACGGGAAGTGCCCCTACATGAGTACTGATGGGATATAATATATATCAGCCATATTTGCTTCCCAATTTTGACGTATCCCTCTACTAACTCTAGGCTTCCAAGCACGGCAACATGGGTTCCATTCAGCAACATGAGATTGCAACGCTCAACAGTTTAGCGGCCCAAATCAGCGAGCTGGCTGCTAAGATGACGAAGCAGCTGGAGGCTGAAAATGTGACACCAGTCACTCTTGAGGCCGACAGTCCGATCAAGTACGAGAAACTCCCGGGAGATGTTTTCATGACCCGACAACTGCTTGAGGACGCGTTGAAGGACATGTGGATTCTAAGCCAAGGGCCGAGTGAGAGCGTGTTTAACTACGTACACATGGCCATCCCAGACACGGCATGCTTGAACGTCCTCAACCAGTTTGACTTTTGGGGTGCGGTGCCAGTCGATGGCGAAGCGACATTTGAGGATATAGCAAGGCATACCAAGCTCCCTCTTGAGGTGGTGAGTCGTGTCATCGACCATGCCGTCACGATGCGCTTCTTCCACAAACCTTCGCCCACATCGATCTCAGTCAAACATAGCTCACGATCTGCTGCACTGGCCAAAGACTCTGGCTTGTCTGCACTCGTGCAGATGGTGTTGGATGAAACGGGTCCCCCAATGTTCTTGCTTCCAGAAGCTTTGCGACGCTTCTCGCAGGGAAAACCTGAGATAAGCAAGGACATAAAAGAGACTGCTTTTAGGCTGTGTCACTCTGGCGGTGAAGCGTGGGGCAACTATGAGACCAGTTGGGAGTTTATCGAAAACGATGGCGAGGGTGAGAAGAAGGGCTGGCGACAGAGGAACTTCGTCAAGTTCATGGCCTATATCAAGGATCTGTTCCACACCGAAAACATGGTACTCGAAGCCATCGATTGGAAGGCAGAGGGCGAAGTCACGGTCGTTGACGTGAGTATACCTAGACCTGATCCTTATCCTGACACTAACAATCATTAGCTCGGTGGTTCAGCTGGTCACGACGATGCTGTTCTTGCAACCAAGTTCCCTAACCTCAAGATCGTAGTCCAAGATCTCCCCGAAGTCGCCCCAGTCTTTGAAAAAGAATTCCCATCCGAATTAAGATCGCGCGTCTCGTTTCTTACACACAACCTTTTCGATCCACAGCCTGTACAAGCGGATATTTACATGCTCAAGTGGATCTTACACGACTGGCCGGACGTTGAGTCAGTGAAGATATTGCAAGCACTCCGGCCCGCACTCCGGCCCGGTGCCCGCGTTCTTTTCATCGATTATGTGGGCAAGCAGGAGCCGAGCAACGAGGAGCTGCCAAGGAGTATACAGGGCTTTGGTACAGCCACTGATCTGAGGATGATGGCATTATTTAACGCGAAGGAGAGGCCAGTAGAGGCGTGGAAGGACATCTTCAAGCAGGCTGATGAGAGATACGATGTTGTTAGAGTTGAAGCTGATCCGTTGAGCTTCATGTGCGTGCTTGAGGCTGTGTGGAGGGGCTAGATGTCATATGGCACACCGCGATCTCGCTTCTAAACTGGCCGTCTAATCAGACAAGCAATCTATCTTGTTGTTCTGTCGTACCTGTGTCCCTCGTTCCACACAGATTGATGTAACGAGGCTCAGCTCGGACCCGAAAGCTGCTACAATTACTAGGCTAAGAAAAGCTTTGCTCAGATAAAGGGCGCGAGATTTAGAGAGCTGAATGCGCTACAGGCACTCGATTGTGTTGCATGCTCAGCGCACCAGGCTGTTTGACGCCGATGTTCACATGTGCCGCGACTTTGTCATGGTGAAGAAACAGCATCCCACCTATGCGATACACAATATAAATTGAAGATATTGAAAAAAACTCATCGAGAAAAAACTCCCCGTAGCTCAGTTGGTTTAGAGCGTCTGACTGTAATATCTGCTGTTATCAGAAGGTCCCTTGTTCGACTCATGGTGGGGAGAATAATTCTCTTTTTGCCTTTTTTGCTCTTGTCTGTACCTAGTATCATATGCCATGAGGTGTTTCGAGCTAGCTTGTGGAAAGTCGAAACAGCATTCCAAACAAGCTATCTATGCGCTATACTCGGGACATTACCAGCCGTGACATCGGACCGGCTCCAGACAGGGCAGATCATAGTATGGTTATCGAAAAGCTCAATGCAGACGCCCAAGCCCAGAGCCACTCCGGCATAATGATCTTTTTGACGCCTCTAGCAGCCGTCAGACCCAACGCCACAATGGAAGCATTCCTACCGACCCTAGAGACATGCATACAACTGGTACTGGGCTGGCCAATGGGCGGTGCCCTTACTCCCCAGGTAGTCTCTGTTTATGAACAACTAGCGTACCAAAACGTCGTCAAGACGGCCCTTCATGTACATGCAGAAAGGTTTAGAGATACGAATTCTTCAAGAAGTATCCGATACCCGGCAACGTGTATTTATAAGAATAGTTCACAAAGATAGTCACGACCAAATCATCACTTCAGATCCTCGTCCACAATCATCAGTCAGTTCTTTCTTCAGCGCCTTCGTTTAGTCATTTCACCATGTCTCCCCGAGTAAATACCGTCATCTTATATATATCATTTTTATCTATTGGGCAGATTGCGCAGGCGCAAACTCCCAAGCTTATATCGATACCGATAAAACACTCTAATATTGATGACGCGGGTCCTTTCATCCCTCTTGTTTCGATGGGGGTCGGTACTCCACCACAGCTGATAACGGCGATCTTGGACACGGGAAGTAGCGATCTCGTCATCCCAAGGACAGGCAGTAGAATCTGTCAAGACAAACAGCAGCAATGCTCTGGCACACCTTTCGTCACTGGTTCGTTCGATACGGATCGTGACACTAGTATTGCAGATGTCAATACAAAGCTCAACACGAGTTTTGCAAACGGTGCTGTGTTCCAAGGAGGATTCGTCAAGACAACACTGACGCTCGGTAACCAAAGTGTGTCGGATTCACAACTCGGAGTCATCGAGCAAGGTTCGCTGCCTTCTGGGAATCCACTTTTTCCCATATTCGGTATCGGTCCTATTGAGAACGAAGTTGTCCAGCCACCATACCAGAATACATTGGCCAATCTCAAGGATACTGGTGCTATTAATGCCAATGTATATGGTATCTTCATGAACGATTTCCGTAAGTTGAGCATAGCAAATGTTCGAATGAATGCCAGGCTGATATCGGTATCCTCTTGACAGGCAGTCCAGAGGGCTCTATTGTGTTTGGCGGTGTTGACACCGCGAAGTTCCAAAGCCCGCTCCAAGATGCAGGACCACTTTTATTGAACAATGGAGGCGTTGCGTCGCAATTTGTAATCGATTTCAGCTCCATGCAGTTGGTCAGCGGCAACTCATCCTCCTTGAGATCCAACGTCGACTTGACACCACGGGGCGGCCTCCCTCCGGCGTTGATCGACACTGGAAACCCCTCGCTGAACATTCCATCAGCTTCTCTACGCGCCATGGCCATGGCTATAGGTGCGAATTTTGACGATCAAGCTGGTCAGCTGAGCAGTGTGCCGTGTGATCTTGGCTCCCGCGGAGAGAGCCTCTCATTCGGCTTCAACAACAACCAAGCGAAGATCAGCACTCCTTTGGCTGCGATGCTTGTTCGAGATTCGTCTTCGGGCACGACTGAATGTTTCCTACCGATGTTTCCTTCAGATGGGGATGATACAGCAAGCCTAGGCGCTCCGTTCATGCAAGGAGCTTACATCGTTTTTGATCTGGATCAAAAAAAGATCATGATGGCAAATGCAAACATCAATGCTACCAATTCGAACCTGCAGAAGTTAGACGGGTTGTAGTATCATTATCAAACAACAGTTCTAAAAGTATCAGCTACATTATATAGGCCTTGGAAAGTGATAACAATAAGTCCTTGATCACAGTACCTAAGTACCTTGACAAACCAAGTGCCTGATGTTGCTTCAGGAGGCAAACAGAAGTGTATGTAGTAGTAGTAGTAGTAGTAGTAGTAGTAGTAGTAGTAGTAGTAGTAGTAGTAGTAGTAGTAGCAAGTGCAGCTCGAGCATGAACATAACTCTGCATTGCAGAGTAAAACACTACATTCCAGCGATAAGGTCTGTCAGGTGTCGTGTGCGAGGATCAGGAACAGGTTCGTGGAGTGCTTCCGGAAGCCGCATCTCGATCTAGACCCCAATCAGCTAGACTCAGTTACTCTGAAGCTCTCAATGTTGCCCAAGCGCTACTGCGTCAGTCTTTGGTAAACAATCATCATACGACCTCGAATATAAACGAATTTCGTTGTTCAAAAACTGTTTTTCTTCCCTTGTGCGCTGTTGAGATGCTTTGAGTCATGTACCTTTGACGTATCGAATTTCGGGCCATCGCCGAGGATCCGGCCGTCATGGTCTGTGTAAGCAAAGCTATCAGCAGATCCATATGAAAATGCAGGCCGTCCTGAAGAGAATAAAGCCTAGCCTGAGATTCCGATGACTCTAAGCCGCGAGGGTTTGCATAAGTGAGGAGCGGATTCCGCGTTATGTTTGATCTTAATCTTTTACCCTCGATCACCTCAAGTTCATCACTGTCATCCTCAACTCTCGCATCAGAATGTCGGCGCCGTGTGCGATACAGCATGGAGCTCGTATAACACCAACTGATTTGTGCAGTGGTCAAGCCGCGCTTTCAGATGGCCAAGCGCTGCCCAGATGGCTCATTCCAGCGGACCGTCGGGGTTGGCGACGTATTGTCCAAAACTTTACACCTGCATGGGTATGTAGCGTCGTCAGATACTGGAGTTTATGAGTAACGAGAGACTAAATGAGCCTCAGTTCGCCGTCACCATGGGTACAGGCATCGTCGCGGTCCTGTTTCACACCTTCTCGGAGCTCTACCCTAGCTACCATCGCTCGTTGAGAGCGCTGAGCATCGCCTTTTTCATACTCAACATCATCATATTCTCCACCATGCTCATGATATCAGTCCTCAGATACACACTGTATCCTGCCATATGGATTCTGATGCTTCGTCATCCGGTACAGTCGCTGTTTCTTGGCACAATACCCATGGGATTTGCTACCATCGTCAACATGTTCGCCGTTGTTTGCGTACCAAAATGGGCTGGCTTGACACCATACGTCTTGTGGGGCATGTGGTGGCTCGATGTCGCACTCAGCGTTGCTTGTTGCCTCTGGCTACCTTTCCAGATGTGAGTTGACCATGTTTGTCGCTTGAATCTCAAGATCTCGCCTCAAAGTGTTTCTGTTATTGCGAGGAATATGAGAAAGCCACCAGCTAATATAGCTGCAGGATGACCAAACATCATAACCGTCATGAGACGATGACAGCAGCCTGGCTTCTGCCGATCGTGGCCTGCATCGTTGCAGCAGCTTCTGGCGGCGTTGTCGCCTCGGTCTTGCCTGACCCGAATCACGCCCTTGTCACCATAATCACCAGCTACGTCCTTTGGGGTATGGGTCTACCCCTGGCACTCGTGATAATGGTTATATACTTCCATCGTCTTGCCATTCATAACCTTCCATCTCAGGAGGTTATCGTCAGCGTCTTCTTGCCTCTCGGCCCCATGGGCCAGGGCGGATACGCAGTCTTGAAACTCGGCATTCAAGCTTCGAAGACCTTCCCAGATACAAAAGCCTTGCACCCGGTAGCTGGAGAGGTCCTCTACGTACTAGGCTGGATGACCGCCATCACACTCTGGGGCTTCGGTCTGGTATGGTTGTTCTTCGCTGTCGCGTCGATCAGTCGAAACAAGTTCCCTTTTAACATGGGTTGGTGGGGTTTCACCTTTCCTATTGGCGTCTTTACAATGTCTACCATTACCATAGGACAAGAACTTCCTTCCGCTTTCTTTAGGATTCTAGGAACGATACTTGGAATTAGTGTCGTTCTCCTCTGGGTGCTTGTCGCTGTTGGCACTATGAAGAACATTATATACGCGAACATGTTCGAAGCGCCTTGCTTGCGCGACATAGAGAAGAAAGCATGTGCAGCTTCTCGTGGGATGCAACATCAGGACGCGTAGGTAGATACAGCATAGAGACCCTTCGTCGTTGCGAGAGTAATGTTTAGCTGGGAGCTTCACTCACTAGCTGACTGTAAATAAAAGGGCGATTAGACCGAAAAGGACGAGGAAATGTCACGCTCGTGACGAGATCAAAGTCAACTTACAAGCTCCTGGAGACGCCCGTTTCATTTCCAGCGAAGCTCGTATTTCTTCCTTGACTGGTAGTGGGGATAGGTTGCGAAACGCAGTACCACCTGGTGCTTCACCCTGGCTACCGTAGCGGGAATCACGAAGCAGCCAACTAAGACGGATCCGCATCTTATCGATAAACCGTTAGACGCAGATCTACCATGACGTGAAACAGCAAATGATTCCTCTTTGCCTGGTGAGAGTTGCCCTCTTAGATGTGCGTGCTATCTATGAGTATCAGTGGAAGGCACACATGCATGTAGATATTGTCGTGTTGTACCGTACGTGGCGGACATGTAGGTTTACTTATCGCGCACTGAC